AATGATAATAATATATCATTATCGTTATTATCACTGTTATCGGTATCATTGTTATCATTGTTATTATTATTATCATTATTATCATTATTGTTATCATCATCATTATTATTGCTATTATCATTATTATTGTTGTCAATATTATCATAATCATTATTGCGATTATTATCATTATTATTATTGTTATCATTTTTATTATTATTATTATTATTATTATTATTATTATTATTATTATTATCATTATTATTATTATCATCATCAGCATTATCATTATTGCGATTATTATTATTATTATCATCATCATCATCATTATTATCATCATCATCATTATTATTATTATCATTATTTCTATTATTATTGTTACTACCATCATTATTATTATCATTACTATCATTGTTATCGTCATTGTTGCTATTATTATTATCATTATTAATATCATCATTACTATTATAATTATTATTGTTATTATTATTGCCTTTATTATTATCATTATTATTGTTATTATTATTGCCTTTATTATTATCATTATTATCAATAGTATCATTATCATCATCATCATAATGATGTTGAATGTAATGAATATCATCATTATCATCATAGAAAAGATATTATTGTTATTATTATCATCATTATCATTAATATAACTATCTTTATTATTATCATCATTATCATTATTGCGATTACTATTATTATTATCATCATCATCATCATCATCATCATCATCATCATCTTCATTATCATCATTATTATCATCATCATCATTATTATTGTTATCATTATTGTTATTATTATTGTTATTACCATCATTATTATTATCATTACACTCATTGTTATCGTCATTGTTGTTATTATTATTATCATTATTGTTATTATTATTATTGCCATTATTATTATCATTTTTATCAATATTATCATTATCATAATCATCATTATGATGTTGAATGTAATGAATATCATCATTATCATCATAAAAAAATATTGTTATTATTGTCAATCATTATCATTAATATAATTATCTTAATTTTCATTATTATTATTATTATTATTATTATTATTATTATTATTATTATCATTATTATTATTAGTGATATAATGTAGTAATGTCAAAAATGATAATACTAATTATTATCATTATTATTATAATTGTCATTATTATTATTATTATCATTATTAGTTTCATTGATATTACAATTATTATTACTGTTATCTTTATTATCAATATTATGATTAACATTATTATTATCATTGATATTATCTTTATTATGAAGATTATCATTATGATACCATTATCTATTATTACATTTATGATCATTATTACAATAATTAATATTATCATTATTGTTATCATTACTATCATTATAATAATAATAATAACATTAATAATAACAATGATAATAATAATAATAACAACAATAATAATAATAATAATAATAATAATAATAATAATAATAATAATAATAATAATAATAATAATGATAATAATAATAGTAATAATCATCATCATCATCATCATCATCATCATCATCATGACATCATCACCATCATTATCATCATCGTCATTCTTATTATTATCATTATTTCTATTGTTACTACTACTACTTTTATTTTTATTGTTATCATTATCAGTATCACTATCATTATTACTTTTATCATTGTTATTATTATCTTTATTATCATATTATTATTATTATTATAATTATTGTTATTATTATTATCATTATTATTATTATCATTATTATTGTTGTTGTTATTATTATTGTTATTATTATTATTATTATAATTATTATTATTGTTGTTATTACCTCCGCCAAGGAGGTTATGTTTTTGACGGCGTTGGTTTGTTTGTTTGTTAGCAGCGTAGCTCAAAAAGTGCTGGCCGGATTTTTTGGGACAAATCAGAAAGGGACTAACTTAGAACTGATTAAATTTTGGTGACATTCCGAATTACCGTCTGGACGCAGCAGCGGTGTAAGTACACTATATACGCACCTTGGCGGAGGTCTGCACTCTCTGAGTGCTTTTCTAGTTATTATTATTATCATTATTACTATTATTATTATTATTATTATTATTATTATTATTATTATTATTATTGTTATGATTAACATTATTATTGCTATTATTATCCTTCTCATCATCATTATCATCATTATAATGATTATCGTCATTGTTATCATCATGATTATCAGTATAATTACGATTATCATTAAGATTACTAAGACTACTACTATCACTGTTACTAATACTGCTATTATTAGTGTGTCACTATCATTGTTATAATCATTATCATTATCAGCATTATCATTATTATTATTATCATCATTGTTATCACTGTTATAATTATCATTACTATTATTATCATAATTATTATTATTCTCATGATCATCATTATCATTTTTATTATCATTGTTATTATTACTGTTATTGTTATTATTATTATTATTGTTATTATTATTGTTATTATTATTATTATCATTATTATTATTATCATCCTTATTATCAT